TTAAAACTTAGGAATTGTTTATTTCTGGAATTTCCCATTTAGTTTTTGCGCCGCAGTGGACCTTGGAGAGTGAAACCATGGATAAGGGGAGAAAATTGGATTCTCTAACCATTCTATCGCCATGCAAGGGAGCTGAAGCTTTTAGAAGTAGCCTTATAATGATTTTGACCATCTCATGATTGCTGGTTAAGAAGTAAAGATGGTGGTAATATTGTAAAGCCTTTGGGTCCTAAATATTTTTATGAGAAAAATCTGTGTCATTAACTAAACCACAACTTCCTGACATAATTACATTAAAGTAACCAATGCTGAGAGAGTAATAGTAACCCTTATTCTACCCTTCACTATGATTCAAAGTATAAATTGGGTGATACAAATTGTAGGATATAGAAGAGAATGTTGAGCTAAAAGCCAGGCAGAAATAATACTTTTATTTCTTATGAACCAAAATCTATATTTTGCTAATAATTTATGTCAGAAAATTTAGTATTTTAGATTAAGCTTTATAGTTAAATTTGTATTTATCCTTCTGGGTTGATCAAATGGAAGAACATGAGTTTTCAAGGAAAAATATATTATTGGTAGGCATTATTTGATTTGAATCCTAAAGAGGAGCTACAAGTAAACCTCGAAACTAAAAATGTGAATGTTTTAATGCTCATTTTTCCTCAAATGGCAAAACTAAGCTTAGTGAAAGATCAAAAGAAAATATATACTGTGATAATGAAATTAGGCTTTACTCATAAATATTATAGTATACATCGTAATTCATTTATATACCTGTAAAATAAGAGGGCTTATCTAGACCATCATAACTTTTAACCCAGTTAGCCTACAAGTAATACTATACTTTTACATTTTATTTTAATAAATATGTGAAGTATAATTCCCTATTTGTTATATAAAAAACGTGTTTATTTTGTGTTAGGGTGTATAGTGTAGACGTTATAAAGTTAGTTGTTCTTATGTATTTTTGCAGAAATGCTAAAGTCTAATTTTGCTCCTATTCAAATGCGTTGAGCAATTTGCCTTTTTTGTAGAATATATGCTGCTGCGACCTCTTATTCTGATGAAAGAGCTAAAGCCTTTAGAAATGAAAACTTAAATTCGTTATACAATATTTTAAATTATCTTGAGTGTTCAAACTGCATTTTTCTAAAACAGGAGATTGTTTTAAATGGTTTTGGTAGCATCTTAATAAACAACAGTCCCATCAGTGGAAGAGAAAGAAAACAGAGAATAGAAAGAGTTTCTAATTCAATTTATATTAAAAACAGTATCTTGATGTGCACTTTTTTGTCCTTCTTCAGCTATCTACAGAATTTTGCCTTCCACATTATGGTAACCTTGCCTTAAATTGGCAGTGATTTGTACTGTGCATCACTTTGAAATTTGTGGAAGTGTTTATTTACTATAACCTTGATTTTGGAGATATTATAAAGGCCCAAACTCTAATCTCTAGCCAAGATATTTGAGAACATAAAATACATAGTGGATTAGAAACATACATTTCAATGTTAAACCATAGTTGCTTGTGTACAACATAATTGTGTCCACCCATAATGGTGTTTATTTGTGTGTGTATTTATATGTATATTTCTTAAAATAAGAGTGCTAAACTATAATATAATTGGGTTAAGTTGCTTGTACTTTGGAACACACACAAAAAAATTGTCTCAGCAATTTAAGTGAGTTAAGCAGAACTCTAAAGTTGGAGTAAAAAAATCCAAAAAATAAACCTTATTACTAAGTAATGCTTTATATGTTCTTAAAGATGCTAGCTACTTTAGATATGCCCCAATCTCTCAAATTTAAATTTCATGTTTTGGAAACACTTTTTATCTGTATATATATATATATATATATATATATATATATATATCTGATATAGCTTTTAAATTTACAACACTCATCCTTTGACATTCTGAAAAGAAAAACATGTATCAATCATTAAGTTTGTCCAGCAAGTGCAGATCTCACAGATACCGTGAACTTCCAGGGTGACATCACAAGCTGTTTCTGAAATTATAGCACAAGAAAATATCCCACAGCTATTGTATTGCTGCTTGTTCAGTCCCCGGTCTCTTACAATTCTAGGCCTGGATAGTACAGAGGTGGATTCTATGCTTCTGTAGTGTCGATTCTGTTATTGTACTTCCTGAAAACATAGAGGTTACTGTTAACAGCAAAACACAATGGGCCAGGGGTTATTCTCTATCTTTTGAAAGCGTTTACAAGAATTGGTGTGATAAGCCATGGTTGTTGTTATAAAAAAAAAATCACATTTTACTAATTAAAAATCACAAATGATTGTGTATTTTTTTCAATGAAGTCTAGCCAGAGAGCAAAAAAGAATGATTGTATTACTGCTTATAAAAGTACAGACCAATTTAGAAAGGGGATGCATTTATTAAAGAGCAATGGGAGATTTTCCTTGAAGGCTGCCCTGAAAACAGAGTTCATATGTGTACCACTGGATGGCTTCTCTCAGATCCTTCTAGCAGTGTTGTTGACTGGTGTTGTCAGATTTGTAGCTCATGTACTTTCTTTCTTGATTTTCCTCCTGTTTTCTCTCATTGATTTATAAGCAGCTTATGACTAGAAGAATCCTGTCCTCTAATTCTTTGGTGTCTTCCTCTACCAAAGAAAGGAGTTTTGAATGCGGTCAAAGAAATAAATATTGATGACATAGGTCTTTATTCAGACAGGAGTATGAAGCATCACTAAGAAGGTGGAACATGTCTAGAGCAGAATATAAAATTCCACTCCCTCTACTTCTTCTTTTTTTATCTTTATTAAATTTATTGGGGTGACATTGGTTAGCAAACACATATAGGTTTCAAGTGTATAAATCTATAATACATCATACACACACACACACACACACACACACACACACACACACACACACACATTGCACTGTGGGTTGACCACCCGAAATCAAATCTCCTTCTATCACCACATATTTGATACCCTTTACCCTACTCTACCACTCCCTTCCTCCCTTATCCTCTGGTAACCACTAAATTATTGTCTGTGTCTATGATTTTTTGTTTGTTTGTTTGTCTTATTCATTTGTTGTTTTTGGTTTTATATGCCTCATATGAGTGAAGTCATATGGTTCTCGACTTATTCTGTCTGACTTAACTTCGCTTATCATGATAATCTCAAGACCCATCCATGTTGTCACAAATCGCTGTATTTCATCTTTTTCTAAGGCCAAGTAATACTCCATTGTGTATATGTACCACATCTTCTTTATCCAATCATCCACTGAAGGACATTTTGGTTGTTTCCATATCGTGACCACATTGAACAATGCTGCAATGAACCCAGGGGTACATATATCTTTACAGATAAATGTTTTCAGATTTTTTAGGGTAGATATCCAGAAGAGGGATTGTTGGGTCATTTTTAATTTTTTGAGGAAACTCCATACTGTTTTTCATAGTGGCTGTACCAATTTACATTCCCACCAGCAGTGTATGAGGGTTCCCTTTTCTCCACAACCTCTCCAAGATTTTTTATTATTTGTCATGTTGATAATAGCCATTCTAACAGGTATGCGGTGGAATCTCATTGTGGTTTTGATTTACATTTCCCTAATAGCTATTGAAGCTGAGCATTTTTTCATATATCTGTAGGCCATTTGTATGTCTACTGGGGAGAAGTGTCTGTTCAGGTCCTCAGCCCATTCCTTAATTGGATTGTTTGTGCTTTTCATTGTTGAGTTGTATGAGTTCTTTATATATTTTGGATATTAGCCCCTTACAGGAGACGTTGTTTGCAAATATCTTCTCCTGTTCAATTGGTTACCTGTTTGTTTTGTTGATGGTTTCTTTTGCTGTGCAAAAGTTTTTTAATTTGATATAGTCCCACTCATTCATTTTAGCTTTTACTTCTCTTGCCTTCCAGGTCAAAGTCATAAAATCCTCTCTGAATCCAAGGTCCATAAGTTTAGTACCTAGGCTTTCTTTCATGCAGTTTATTGTTTCAGGTCTTATTTTTAAAGCAATCCTATGAAAAACTAACAAGGCTAGAGATGTCACACTCCCTGACTTCAATTTATACTACAAAGTAATAATAATCAAAACAGCATGGGATTGGCAGAGAAACAGACACACTGACCCATGGAACAGAATTAAGAGCCCAGAAATAAACCCCCATATATGTGGGCAGATAATTTCCGACAAAGGAATAAAAAACATACAATGAAGAAAAGAATCTTTTTTTTCAATCTTGGAAATGATAAGACTTAAGTAATTTATGAGGCTGGGAGATGGAAAATCTACCCTTACTTCCGCCACAAGCTAGTTACGCAGCCTTGCTTTGCTAAGTGAGGATGTTGGACCAGTTGATTTTTAATTTACCTTCTAGTTCTAAGGCTGATTCTGTTCTATTGAAGGGCACTAGAATTTTCTTACAGTAATTGCATATGCCAGGTAATACTTCTCTTAAATCTCTAGATCTTAGGACTAGATTTCTCCGAAATCTTGTGATCATATCCACATTATATACTACAATTACCTGTACATTATGAGCTACAATTACCTTAATACCTATATTTTTAATGATATAAAGATGTAATTAAACCTAGAAGTTTTGTTTTGTAATTTTTGTTGTTTATTAGTTAATGTTTTACTTCACTTTTCCAATATGGTGTGATTTTACTTTTTGCTTTCTACTGTCACCATCAATAGTAAACTTACTAAATTGGCTGATAGTTGTGAACAAATCTTAATCTCTATATACATGCTCTATAGACAGCAAAAATGTGCAGTTCATATATTATGTTTTTATTCTAATGCTTGTGTACCCTATATTACCTTCAGTGTTGTCAGAATCATGAATATTTGTGGGTGGAACAGCCAGTGCCTTGCCACAGTAAATAGACCACCCCCTGGCAAAGAGATCGTTAACATTCAATGTTAATAATAATGTGAAAACAATCCTACTAGTCTATTATTCTCTATGTCATCTATTTTCTATTTCTTTTGTAGGGTATCTTGAAGCTTAATCCTAGAACTTTTCACACATCTATAAAGGTAGGAAAAAGAACGCTTTTCTGGTTATAAAATATGTTGCATTTATCTATGTTTCAATAATTTACTCCTCTTGTTTGATACTGATAGAATTGATGTTGCTTATTTTGAATAACTGAAAGTGTGCTATATGTACTTAGTTGCTAAACTGGAAATCATCCAACACATAATGTTTAATCTTCAGTTTGAATTTTTTCCTATTATGTACTACTATGGTTTATTATATATTATTACAGTTTGTTTCACTGTAGACAGAATTTATCCTTGCTTTTACATTTTTGTATTAGTGTCTCCATAATTTTAGGGTACATTGACATTACCATATGCAATTTCTATATATCAGGAAGGCAATTTTATAATATATACATTTATGTATATTAATTTATGTAATATATTGTTAGAAGCTGAGATTCTCTTATCTACCACTATTTCTTTGTGTGTGTGCATGCTATTTTAAACCTCTAATTTCTTTAAAAACAACCAAAGTAACCATAGTATAAGTATAATTAGCTATCAGTGATTTAGTTAATTTGGAAGAATTTACTTAATAAAAGTACCAGAAAATGTGGCTCTTTTCTTGGCTAGGACTTATGTGAAGATAAATTTAGAATTCCTAGTCTAGTAAATACTTCTCTGATAATAGCTTAATTGTAGCTATTTCCAACCAAATTGTTTAATTGTGGTGAATCATATGGAAATTGTTCAGAAGTAGGTCAGCTTCCCACTGCCACATTCTAGCACCTCTTTTCTAGTTTTGGACAAACTGCTCAATGCCTAAAAGAGACAGAACAGTAAATGAAAGACATAAGACCCCCCCCCCCAAAAAAAAAGAGCAATAATGGCATAAAAACCAACACTGGGTCAGAATATTCTCATAAAAATGTCCAGACAGGTTGCACTTATTAATGCCTTAGTTGATCATCTCTTATGCTTGCTGTGTGTTTACACAATAGGTTGTTCACTCTTCATGAGCTTTTAGGCTGACATGTCATGGTGCCTCTAGAATGCAATGTTTCTTCATCTATAAAATACATGTAATACTATCATTCTTTTTCACTTAACTGAACTGAAATGAAGATCTAGTAAAACAAGGAATGTAAAATGAATGTGTGACTCCTCCAATCCCATATGGAAAGAACATGTTATTGTTTGTGATCTTGTTGAGTGACAGAGGAATGGGTTTCATTGATGGGAAAGAATACCTTGTGTAGATCTGGGTGAGCCCAAGAAACCCTTTAATTTTCTAGCTGTTACATTATAGTTCTAGTCTATAGTTGTCTTTGTGATAGAGCATTGCATCATTTTCTGATGAATATGGTTCTATGATTCTATTTAATCTTTATATGTTGTCTACTATACTTTCAAAGCAAAATTTATTTCGAGTTATTAAAGCATTGAGAAATAATAAATCAGACTCATGAATTTGTTACATTTGTTGTGTTTTATCTTTAGGTGATTATGACCAAGGTTTTTGGTGTATTGACAGAAAATAGTGAGCCTTGCTTGGTCTTGGTTTAAAAACTGCTTTTACTTTTTATTCTAATAAAATTAGAATTATGCCTTAATATATACATAATTTTTATAATTATCAGTTCTTCACTGTAGTTTGTTCAACAATTAAAATTTATATTTTCATATAATTTATGATTTTTAACATTGTCTAAAATGTATTTTGAATTAAATTATTCATTCTTGAATAATTATTATATTAAATTACTGAATTAAAAAGAGGCAGAAGTTATCTAATTCTTAGGATGGGTAAAGCAGAGAATTATACTAAATAGAAAGTGGTATTTCCCTCAAAGTTAGATACTGTTAAAGTTTTGGTATTTATTTTTCCTGATTCCTTCTTTATATACATAAACCTCAGTATCAATATGTGCACATAATGCTTTCATACTACATGCATGATTCTGTGTTTTTAACATTTTAATTATGAACATCCTTCTAAGGCAATATATATTATCCATTTCATCCTTTTTAATGGCTGCATATAGGCAACATTTTTGATGTACCATGATTTATTTAATAGACCCTCTAAACCCTTTTTAAAAATAGAACTTTAAAATAGTAGAGTGAACGAGGGCCTTCCTTAATTACACTTTTGGCAGCCATACAAAAGAATATGTCCCATTTGTATAGTGAATCAGGAAATTAAGGAGTGAAGAAAAAGTGTTACGGTAAAGAGACATAAAAATATTACTAGGTAAGTGCACATAAATGATCAGGGGAAAGAAAAGGCAATAATAATATAGATGTTCACGCAACTGTGTTGCAGGTATATAAAACTAAAATTTTTACTAATTTTTTCAAGGTTTATCCCAAATGACACCTCCTTCCAGAAGCATTCAGAGACTCTTCCCTTACTCCTGTTTCTCACCACTTGCCTTACATCTGCATAACACTTGGGGGAAAATAGACCTCATCATATTATGTCACATACAAAATTCATCTTGCATGTATCTTTTTGCCCCAAGTAGGCTGTTAACCCCTGGAGGGCAATGACTGTGTGTTAGTCATTATTGAATCTAGTAGATGTTGAATAAATGGTCACTGAGTTAAACTGAATTGAACTGTGAGAAAGGGGACAAATCAGGTGGAAATGTTTCATCTTACCAAAATTTTATAAGGTGCCACTATATGCCTCTCTATTTTCCTATTTTCTCTTGGAGTACATAATCAATTCTTCTGATGGATGAGATATAAATAATATAAAGTTTTTGATATATAATAAAATTATTTTAAAATGAATTTTAAATATTCTTTATGGTATTCATGCTCAAAATTATATCTTTAAGTTGAGTATTTCAGCAAAAAAATATTTATAAATGTATTAAAATTATTTATATGGTGCTGAACTTATTTATACATTACCTCATATGGAGCTAAAAAAAGCACACTGTCCGCTTTAAAGCATTATACACATATAAGATTATTATTATTGTTAAGATAGTAATGAAGTTGGCTCTGTGGACTAAAAATAGGAATTGTTATTTACAAAATAGAATAAGTAAAAGAAGCAATTCTTTATGTGAATTCTGTTATAAGAAAAGGAGCATTGTTTCCGGGACTTTGTATGATGTAAGTTGTTACTCATGCCATTTAAATGAATTTTTGACATTGTCTCAACCAGCAAAAGTAGAGTTATTGATAGTTTAAATTATGCTTGAAAGAAGCTCTAGTTCCACATTAGTCTGAATTCAGTGGTAATGTAAATTTAAAATATCTGAACAGATGTACTAGTGTCAATTTCCTTTATAGAAAAATTAATAATTAGTGAGTGTAAAAGTCTCTTTTGAAACTGAATGTAATGCCTGGTGCATAATGTTGTTTCTTCTGACTTCTGATTTGCAGAAGTCACTAGCCATGACTCTAATTTTGTATCTATTTTACTGGGCAAGTTGGAAAGGAGGAAAGGATCTTGGTCAGTCTTTTCTAAAAAAAGAAAAAAAAAAGTTTAGCTTATTGCTGACTTTTGCTTGATAGTTTGTAACTTAATATTTCAAATGCATACTTTTGCATTGTCTGTTCTCAAAGTCAAAGCTCTCTCATGACCTGGGTAGGGTTGCAAATGTAAGTACCTTCAGGTCTCATACAACAAAAGTGGGTGTAACAGACCAATATTATGTAATAATGAGTGATGTGGACTGGGGAAAAGAGGGTCATATGCTCAACATACAAGGGTTATTTCTACTCATTCCAGTCAAGTTTTCTCACCAATTGTATGTTCCAGTGGCCATTAACATCTGAAAGCATAGGGAATTGAATATTGGAATTTTTATGTGAAATCTCATGGTTTTTAAATGTTGACTCCAAATTGTTTTAATTGGGAAAAGCAACAACAACAACAAAAGCATGTAATGGAGTCAGACAGGCATTAGGCCACTTTTGCATAGATACTGTGTAAATATTTGATCAATTAACGAGTGAACCATAGATTTCTATAAGAAACAGGGAAATTTAAGAACATTCTAACCCTTGTTCTCCCTTGTACTTCATAGAGTTAGGGAGGGTTATAGTAATAGCAACAAATATGGAGACCTACCAGATAAGACTTTTCAACTATCTCTGGAGTCCTGAAAGGGGAAATCAAGGGTGAACAAAGTAAGCTAAGAAGGTGATGTTAAAATACATTATGATGTGCAAAAAAAAAATGATAGCTAAGAAGCCTCATTTTTTGTACACATTTTTTCCTGACCCCAACTAAATTCATGCTACTAATTTACTATCACCCTTTCTTTTTATTCAAGATTCCTGCAAATCAAATGTTTTATTCATCTTAAAAAGAAATGCTGAGTAAAAGTATGGATCAGAAGGAAGTCAAATGCAAGGGGAAAATAAAAATCAAACATGTAAATTTGTCACATAGTCATTCATGAATAAACATGAGTCCAGTGGACCCTAGTTTGTTTTCCATTCTGACCTATTTAGGACTTACTTCCTTTTGGAATTTTGTCCGCCTTCCTTCTGGACAGACTCACCCTTTCCTCTTCTGTTTTAATTCTCTGTTAGACCATCACACATTTCACTGCACTTAATGGTATTTAATTACAGTTGCTCAGACGTCTCTCTTCCCAAGTAGAATTGAGAATCTCAAGACCAGAAACAGTATCATTAAAACCTTTTTTTTTTTAAACAATCATAAACTTATAGGAAATTTGCAAGTATAACACGGGGTATCATTTGAAAGTAAATTGCCAGTCTAATGCCTCACTATCCTCAGCTACTTTAGGATGTGTCTCCTTACAAACAAGGTCATTTTACAACATGATCACAATAAAATTATCAGCATTATATGCTAAGGACTGAATTGTGTCTTGCCTACCAAATTTATATGTTAAAGCCCTAAATCCAATGTAATGGTACTTGGAGAAGGGGCCTTTGGGAGCTAAGTGATTTACATGAGGTCATGAAGGGGAGACCTTCATGATGGGATTAGGGCTCTTATAAGAAGATACACCAGAGAGCTTTCTTTCTTTCTCCCTCTCTGCCATGTGAGAGCA